GATCTCTTTCAGACCCCTTGACATGCTTCCGAGGTGTAAAATTTTTACCTTCAATTTGGGTTAATTGTCTGAACGAACTTGAACTTTTCTCGTCACTTCCTGTATCATTAGGTGTACGAGATCTACTATCACGATCTCTTTCTTTTTCCCTTTGAAAATCGGGCAAGGGAATGTCTGCCGGGACAATTGGTTTCGGTGGGACAACTGAAGGGTTTATTGTTCCAACACCTTCTTCTTCACGATTACGTTTGCTCATTTTTTCTTCCAATTCTTGAAGTTTTTTGGCAGCTCCTTGTTTGGTTGCCTCGTTAAAACGTTTTTCTTCTTCTTCCTTACGTTGCTTGGCTCTTTGAACGGTCAGTTCTAAATCCTTGTTGTGTTGGCGACGTTGCTTCCAAAGTTCTTCATCCGAAGAACGTTTGTTGTTCCAATTGTTACGGGACTGAGATTCATTCGGATGAGAATCTGACTTTTCATGGTCTTTTTGAGTAGTTATGTTAGGTGTAGTGGTTGGAGTAGTTTTAGTTTCTTTTTTCGTATTTTTCTCCGTGGTAGATTCATCATCACTGAATGCCAATTTTTGGTTGTAATCAATATCATCATGACAGGTCCATCCCATGTCTTTGTCAATTTCATCCATGCGACTCAATTCTTCTTCTTTAATAATCGGTCTAGGAGTAATTTCCTCCGCATCCACCAATCGCGGTGGCGGGCGATTTTCTGGACGATTACGCCCATTCATCGGTGGAGGAGTTTGAGTAGGAGCACCAGCAGTTCCTCCTGTAGCGAAGCTACCTTTGCACATCTATAAAACATACAAACAAAATTACACACTTTATTTAACTTTGAAAGTAATATAGACTTACAAAATTTGGCATGACTGCTCGAAACTGTGGTGGTAGTTGTTGTTGAGGGAGGCCGACCTGGGCCGACAGCTGTGGTGGGGCTCCCAAGGGGACCGAGCTGCTCCTTGGGGGACCTTCGGCGCCTGGTCGAGATCCACCCTGTATCCAGGAGCCCTCGGTTTGGGGCCGCAGACTTAGCCCTGGCGTGTACTGAGCATCGGAACCAGTACGTGTGGGGCCTCCATCTCCAACGGACAAGCTGGGGAACTCGTGTTGGAATTGGGGACTCTGATATAATGGTGGATGTACGGAATCCGGACCGCTCATTACGGCGCTCCATGACTTGTCTGTGGTAGCAGGCGTAGCAGAAGGTGTTACATGTTTGTTTGGTGGTGGTATTGTTGTGGTCACCGGGAGGGCAATTGCAGCTTGGTGAGAACTCAACTGTGGGGAAGGTTGACTGCTTGGAGTTGAAGTTGTTGTAGTTGTTGTCTATACAAATGAAAAAAATAAATAGTGTTTAAAACAGAATTACGTATTTTCGCTTATATTCTGACAAAAGCTATATTAATAATAATAGTGGCTCTAGATAATCTACACAAAAAACGCTTATATGTATTTCTGTGTTTTTCCTCAATGAAATGTGACGTATAAAATAAATAAGTTTTAGATAAAGTTGCCACAATCTTCGTCTTTGCTTCTTTGTACACTTATTAATTAATTAAATTCTTTTAAATAATTATTATTATTATAAATATTAAAATTAGAATAAAGTTTCTTCCAATTAAATTATGAATCCGTAATATAATTCTATCTATAAAAATTTCAAAATTATGGAAGTTTAAATTTTGCACTTTGATTCTATTTATTTCTGTAAGAAAAATAATATTCCAATTTTTTTGCTATTAGAAAAAATAAGGAAGCTATCCTAAATTGTAACTATGTCTAACGTTATCTTGTGGCTTTTATTGGCAACATTTTTGTACCTTTACTAAATAATTATCAAAAAACATATACAAGATCATCAATAATACTTAATAGACATAAAACAAATGTTAAATATTAAAAAATTAATGTCAAATTTTTTTGACCAAATTTTTTAAACATTTTTTCCATGTTTCTAGTATCTTAACTTACTTGGAATTTTTCTCTGGGGCGCAAGTTCTGAAACACCCTGTGTGCATTCACAATACTCTTTAGAAAAAATCTGGATCACTATAAAAATTCAATTAAAAAAAATAAACACAGAATTCTATTGTGTCTAGCACTAATTACAACGATTAAATGTAAAACGGTGAAATTAAATATTTCACTTCCTGAAACTAACATTTAATTGAGGAAAGTCTTACTTAGATACTAATGTTTTTGCCTGCATTACTTTTTTCATTATTTTGCTTTCAAAAATAACTCAATATTTAAAAATTATGTAAATTTTTTTATTTATTTAACTAAAATACATTATTTTACATAAATAGTGAGGTTATAAAAGACAACTCGTTTAGATTTATAAATTAATTTGATTTTAATAATATTACCTTTTTAGAAATTCAGGGTAAAATTTTTAAAAAAAGTTTATTTAAAAACGCTATGAAAGATAAATTGATCCAATTCATTTGGGGTAGTTTCGAACAATATCATTTACTTACTCTACTACTTCACCATGATAAAAAAGTGCACTTTACTGTTCAAGGAAAGCCAAGTGCAAACATTTAAATTCATGTCTTCTTAATTACGATACTAACTAAATTCTTGTTTGTCAAGTAGTATAATTAGTGGACACAAAATAATTAATGAGAGCACCATCAATCATTTTGTAAGGGCATAAGAAATAAAAATGTTATTTTTGATTGAGACAAAAATCACTGAATTCTAGGTCAACAGGTATCAATGAGTGCGTCAGAAACGTTTAAAGTTTACTGCTCCAATAATTTTTCTTATTTTGCTGCTTATTCATTGTCGCATTTTTATTTTCTCTTTTATTTAAAAACAGACTTACTTGCCGATAAATGTCTTTTTGTTTGATTCAATTTAAACGGAAATTGACAATCTTTGTAGAGATAAACCAAATAAATTTCAATACACAATTTAATAACAGCGCATTCCTGTGAGTATTTTTTCCAGACAGTTAATCAATTTTTTTAATTGATAAAACTTATTTGCAATTATCTAAATAACGTAACAAAAAAATCTAATACGTTTTACACCGAGAGAACCACAAATAAATGTTTCAAAATGAATTTTTGCAAAATAATTACAGGCAAAAACTTGCCAGATTATATTTTTTTAATTGCATTATGCAAATTCACTTACTTCACATCCTTTAATGTAATCAAATACATACATACCACAAATTTATTTACATTGAGATAAAGCTTCAGTTTACATTGAAAACAGATATCATCTCGCAATATCAGACAAAACAATTACTCATACTTATCAATATAATGCAAAAAAAAAAACCTACCGTTGGAGAAGTAGTGGAAGTTGAAGATGTTGATTCTTGTTTTCCCCATCCTGGTCCGCCTGGTGGTACTAAAGGTACAGATGCGTCAGTTCCGCTATGTTCCGATTTCAAAGAAGGTAAATTCGCTGGCGCCCTACGTGCATTGGGCACCTTTCCCAAACTTTGCATGCCATGTTTGTAAGTAAATGTGCTTTTTTGTTGTTGCTTTTCTAAATTTTCACCCTAAACAAAGGAAACAAAGTTTGTAAAAAATGCAAAGCCTTTGAGACGCTCGGTACTCACCCTGCTAACTCTGTATAAACTATTTATATCTAACGACTGGAACTTTTGCTTTGATTTCTCCCCCTTGGAGGCCAGACCTGGCAAAGTAGACATGCTGTCTGCACGCAACCATTTAGATCTTCAGGACCCAGCGAACGAACCTTTTTCCTACATAAAAAAGCACACAATTTGAATTTGAACAAATAAATGAGAGTAATGAAAAATTTTAATTATTACGTGTCTGGAATGCCAAGCAAACGATTAGTATTTGTAAGGGAACCAATTAATTAATTAATTATGTAGAAGATTTGCACACTAATGTTTGAATGGTGTGTAATAATACAATAATAATCATGAAGGACTATGAAAACGTCAAGGTAAAGCCTTACAACAGTATTGTCGTGCACCAGCAATCCGGAAACGAAATATATCACTTGATTGCTCCAAAAATATCCTCAATTTAGCAGTAAAATCAACGAATCACTCACTTTTGCAACAATCCCGCAAATACAATTACAAAAGAACACAACGTAAGCAGAATCTAGCCCAACCCCAGCTACCTGCCAAAAGCGAACATTGACAAAGCACAAAGCCTCGAAATAAAAAAACTTTCAGTTAATTTAGCCCCTGTACCTGAATTTAACAAGCAAAAATCAAATTCAGGGCAAAATCTTTAGAAACTAGGAGTTCATAACGGTACAAAATTCGCTCGGTCGCCGATTGAAATAAAAACATTGTATTATGAAATCTAGTACGTATAAGTTTTAAAACGTAAAATAAAGACATACCTTGGTCCGTCCAGATGGGTAAACAGTAATTAACAAGAAATAGATCCGATTAAACGAAAATAGGGACGGATGATCACAGATTTTAGCTTGTTTTTACCACTAAACGTAAACTTTTTCACTTAAGTCAAAATGGCGTACGCCGACTACGGCAGTTTTAATCAATACATGACGTCACGTATATTTATTGCCATGGCGACATCTATGCAACGTGAACTCTAACACAAGTTGCCAACAGCGATGTGCAGAGGGCGCTTGGCAACAAAAAACAAAAGAATATCGATTAAAAATTGTTTTGGTTGGCAAGTCGCTTAAGGGCCGCAGAACAACAGCTTAAGGGCCATAAACGTGGTTCAAACAAAAAAAAAACATAATGACAAAGCCAAAATAAATATGACAAGTTATCAAGTGAAGTAACTTATGAATACAAAAAAGATCCTGGGAAACAAAGTTTTCTCACAAATAAATTGTCAAACCCCTAATACTTTTGTGTATAATTCCTTCATAGACCTCAAAAAAAATATGCATCCATTATGAAGAGGTAAGACATAAATAATGTTTATTGTTGAGATATTTTTAACGCGATATAATACTTCCAAACTGTAGCGCCCTTCGAATTTTGTGAAATAAAAATACTAAAACGAATTCAGCTTACAAACACTAAAGTTTATTATTAATTATAGGTAGATATTATTAGGATATTACATTATAGTTTAATATAAAGACAATTTACTTTTTTTAGTCAAAAATTCCAACTTAACATTATTTTACTAGAATAAAAAAGAAATATGTTTTTTTTATCTCTAGTATTTACAGAAAATTTGATTACATAAAGACTATGCTGGCGTCACATTGCTTCTTGCCATTCGTGATTGTTGCTCTCGACGGCACTGTTCTACAGTATTTTCAAGTTGCTCCTTCAATATTAATAATTCCCTTATTCGTTGATAAACGGGATCCTTAAAATTCATTTAAGAAAATACAAAAATCTATAATTTGTCAAGAGTGATATTTACCTGTGTTCGCATACTAGGGTTCCACCTGCAATAATAAGCCTTCCACAGCTTGATATGTCTAATACTTGCAATAGGAATCAATACTCTCTGTTGATTATTATTGGCCCAATACAATGGGTTTTTGTACAAATCGAGCTGACTGTTGGTGTAAGACCACAAAGAAACAGTTTGTTCTTTAAGTTCTGTGAAAAGTAAAATTTTACAAAAAAAAACGTCAAATGAAGAATAAAATTACTTTCTTGCACTCTTTCCCTTTCACTGTTACATAAAAATGTCCCAAAACGACACGAATACAAATGATCAAGAATCGTAATTAAAAAGTAATCATTAAATTCGAAAGCGTTGGGAAATTGTTGCGTTATTTGCCACACGCAGTCTATAAATTGAAGAAAAACAGGTGACCTATCTGCATCTGAATGATGGTCATCACCGTGTCCAATACGCTATAAATAAAATTAGAAAAAAATAATAATAAAACAAACTTTGTACCTGTTGGAATTTGTGGCCGAATGAAAGCCATTCTTTTTCAATTAAAACTTCAAAACCTTTAATCGTGCGATAGTAAGGGTCCAACATTAACATTGGTAAAGCCGTCAGTTGTGCTGTGCGGTCCCAACCGTCAGAACAATGCACCAATACCGAAGTTTTGTGATTTTCAACCTATAAGAAACTCAAGTATTATTGCTTTTCAAAAAATGATTCTACCTTATCAACAATTCTAACAGCTCCAGCTAAAATACACTTGATGTGCTTTAACCAATAGGTTGACTCAACTCCTGACAACCACTTGGTTTCTTCTATGTTGGGATAGCAAAGTTCTTTGAGTTTTCGTAAAGACTCTCGCATTACATGAATATTGTGGATGTCCAAAAATACAAGCTCGGCGTTCTGGTAGGCGTCTTCAGACTCATACCTAACACATTTTTATTTTAATTAATATGCAAACTCATTAATTTAATTTAATTACCCGCCCCCTTTTGCTTTATTTGCGATTGCATTAGCGCTTGGTCTAGCATCCATGATGAACATCTTGTGTGACTGAGCGTTTGCATCCATTATTAGTTGGATGTATCTCTCATCCTCGCGACATCTTTTACCACTTACCTTAAAAATATTGACTTTTTAATCAAGATTTATTGGCTAATAAAAATTTCTTACCCCAACTAGAGGTTGGGAACACCTGGTGATAGTAGCCTGAGATTCTGGGTGAATCCAACTAAGGACAGGTATTCTCGCCCTGCTACGATAACTCGCAACGGCTTTGATATCTTCCTCAGTGGCTTGTGCAGGAATTGCCCACACAGCAGGATAACTATCACAAATATCATACTGTTCATTTATTCGCGAAATTTTCCACATATCATTATTAACCCCCTACATTCATAAATTATTTTTTTTATTAAAATAAACTGTGCTTTACCATTCTTTTAAGTTCCGCTATTGGTTCATAAATCGCCCATCCATTCTCTGGAAAGGTTTCAGAGTATTCAAACGCAAACAATTTAATTTTGTGAGACAACGGAAATGCGAATTGTTGCAATTTCTCGAAAACATCGCGTCTTGAATGGTTCTCTTGTTTATGAGCAAAACGTAAATTTCGCATGTCTTTACAAAACACTTCAATCCCATATGCGTTTTCCCCTCGAGAGGAAGCGCCCCCAACTTTCTCAATCCGTGATACCTCAAATGGTAAACAAATAAAATTGAGCAAATGGGGAGAAATAAATATGCATACCACACCCAATGGCACATCAATAATATTTGGAGTATCTTTGTCTGCGGATCTAAAATACAACCTATAGTTAGTTACAGTCAAGACTCCTCTTGCAGGACCGTAATATGGGCAAAGATAAGTAACGTCTCGTGCTTGACCTGTTACTTTTTCACCTGGCAGTAAAGGAGGATCGTCGGGACGATTGGCGATGCTATTTTCAAATGAAGTTGCCTTAAAATTAGTTTTAATGAGAGTGGAAAGCATGGTGTTTATTTATTACTTTTTTCCTTTCAAGAGTTGAAACTACATTTTCTGTAGATGTTGAACTGGAGGAGCAATAACTCTTACTGGGTGAAGTTTTACCCCAACTAGTCTATTAAAAAAGATTAGCTTGCGGCTTTATTAGGGTGGGCTACTTACTGTTTCTTGTTTTGAATTTATTAAATTAGATTTCGAGTCTGACCGAAAGGTATCCAGAGTAATATTTTTCCCGTAGCTGTTACTATCCATGTCTAATAACTCGACACTTCCTCTCTTTATCATTCTTTAATTTTATTTTTCAATTTCCATTATTGTTAATTAAAGAATAGCTGTCAAATCACTTTCTGTCAAATATTATATCTGGTGAAAATAACCAAAGGTTGGTACTAGCTGCAACCAGATTGCGCCATGTTTAAATTAAAACAAAATTAAAAAACGTATGCAGTTCTTAATAAATTATTTATTTAAGCAGTATCCATTACATCGTTAGTAGAATTTGTTTGTGATTGCGATGGTTTTGATTCTACATTATTGATTGCATTTTCTAAAGCTTTCCTATTATAACGTTTTAGTTTAAACTTTGGAAGAAATCTCAATTCACCATTCCACTCTCTCAAGAAACTAAACTGTTGTATGTTTAAAAGATCAGGAATTTCTAAAAACAGAACTATGATTTGAGTGCAATTTTTAAAGAAATAAGGCGTACCCAAACCACATGTATTGAATTCTTCCTTTTCTGTTTTAATTGTCAAGTTGATAATATCTTCTCTGCTTGCATGTTGACGATTTTTCCTATTACCAATTGAATGTTTAAGCTTTATTTGTTCCAGTTCTTCATCAAACCTTGCCAAGTATCTAAAAATATTTGTATAACAACTATAAACACTTAATTACAGGATATTACTTTTCAATTATTTTCAGGACTTGTCTAGGGCTGTATGAATTGCAATCCGGTTCCAAATTGTCTTTAAACCATAAAATTTTCTCTCCCAACAAATTCAACTTTATATTACTATTTTGCTTGTTTTTTTCACGGGCCTTTGTTCTAAAAATTAAAACATCAATAAAATTTAAAGAAAAAATTGTCGTACTTTTTGATTTGTTTTACAAGAGCATTGGTTTTTCTACTGTTTGGGTGTTTACACTGTGATAAAGCGGTAGCTTTCGGCTAAAAAATATGTTTATTATTGCTAGTCACAACTTAGGAAAATCAGACCATTCCGTTAATAACAAAAAATAATGTAGGAGAAACCTACAAATTTATTAGAATAGAAATAAAATGCACGTGTTTACACTTTTTTGAGGTTATATAATTGACATTTTCAATCTAACCTCAAATTTATAATCAACCGATAGTCCTACATTCTTCTTAAAAAAATAAGTAAAATGAATAAAATCCATCTGATTTTTATGTTCCAAGTGTTTTACATAAGTGGCGTGATTAGTTCATGTGAAAATCCGGAAATCAAATCGACGAGTTACACAACTCAAGACGCAACAATCCTTACTCACATTGCTTACATTTCCGAATTTACAGTGAAATGTGGATCTGGATCACTTGCAAATTTGTATTCTCTACTGGGAGACACAATTCAGCCAGTTGGAATGACGGGACCGAACAAATATCAGATAAGTTGGACAGAAGAAGTGAAGAATGCCAGAACTGGGGATATCACTATTAAACTCTTTGACGACGATGGTTATGCTTTGTTAAGGAAAGCACAGAGAGCAGGAGATGATTTGAATTCAGTTCCGCAGTTTGGTATGATCACAATCAATCATTCAGGAACTTACAAAGGGCCATGGATTAGTTGTGAATGTTTAGCTGTTGCTTTTTCACTCATTGTGTGTTATTATGCGATTCATTTCAGGTCAAAGCTTTTGGCTTGAAAATAAAATATTCACTGACAATTTTGACTTCATTTATTCCTAAAATTATACAAAATACTGATTTTTGGATCACCTGTCACATAATACAAAAATAATTAATATTTTTCGTTGAGATTTACCACTGCAATTCACACGGGATTTCTTCTGGGTATTCGCCAGTCAAACAAGCGGTGCAGTGTCCCTTGTCAACTCCTTTTTCAATATTTCTATGCACCGCTTTGACAAGCCCTTCCACACTCAAATACTCCAAACTGTCGGCTCCTATAAATATGTAAATGTAACAAAAAATCATTAGAAATACTATTTCGTCATACCAACTTTATCAGCGAGTCTTCTAGAATCTAAATCATTAGCAATCAACTCCTCCCTTGTCGGAATGTTAATTCCCATGAAGCAGGGGTGCTTAAGAGGTGGACTTGCCACTCTTATATGCACTTCTTTAGCCCCAGCGCGACGTAGTAATTTGATTATGGGGCCAATGGTATTGCCTCTTACGATCGAATCGTCGATAAGAATAATTCTTTTACCCTTTACATTCGTCGATATGGGGCCTGTATCAAATAAAATTATTTTTCAAGAAGTATGATAAAAATAAAAAATGTGGAATACTTACTAAACTTCAAGGCCACATTTAGCTGGCGAAGCCGATTGTTCGGTTGGATAAAAGTCCTCCCAACATAGGTATTTTTTGTCAATAGTTCTCCCATAGGAATATTTGATTCTTTTGAATACCCAAAAGCGGCAGCATTTCCAGATTCGGGCACGGAGCCGACTATATCCGCTTCAACAGGGTGTTCAATGGCCAATTGTCTCCCACAGTGCGACCTCACAGTGTATACTTCTTGCCCCTCGAAAATACTATTGGGCCTCGCAAAATAAACATATTCGAAAATACAAAAAGCCAATTGTTTATCAGCAGGCCGAGCTACAATATCGACCGTTCGCAGCCCCTGATGTGTCATTTCGACAATCTCCCCCGGTAAAACCTCCCTAACGTATCTGGTGATGGTCAAAAATGCGCAAGATTCGGACGAGACAAGCCATCCTTCAGGTTGGACCGTTTCATCATTTCCTTTTTGGAAAAAAATAGAAATTGTTTATAAGCGACTTTGGGATCTTACTGTCACAATGAGGGGGCAAAATTTTGCCGAGACACAAGGGCCGGTTTCCGTAGGGGTCCCTAACGGCGTAAATGCGATCCTTGAGCATTAAAACAAGCGAGTAACTCAAAGGGGCCATTTGCATGAAATGTCGAATCCTTGCAGGCCAATCAGGACCGTTGACTTCACCCTCTGGTGGTATTAAACACAGAGCTTGGGTTATAATTTCGCTGTCGGAATGCGTAGACAGCCCCACGCCCCTGTCTAAGACCTTTTTCCTCAAACTGGGGCAATTGACCAGCTCACCATTGTGCGCTGTGGCCAAAGAACCATGCATGGAGTGGACCACAAATGGTTGGCAATTTATAGCAGCTGAGGCGGCTCTTGTAGCATATCTAGTGTGTCCTATTCCTAGTGAGCCTTTCAGTTTACTGATATTGTCATTATTGAAGACGTTTTTGACCAAACCCATGCCTTTGTGTATGTGGAAATCATCATTTCCTTCGCTTGTCACAACACCGCATGACTCTTGACCCCTATTAAATAATTAATCATACTGATTGATAACCTCGGAGACTTTACCGATGTTGGAGTGCTTCTAGACCGATGCATATTATCTGAGCGATCTCAGAGTTCGTGTTGGACCAGTCACTTGTCCCGATAGCCCCAAAAACACCGCATTCGTGGGTCAAACCGGAAGTGAATTCGTCGCGAGGCGCATTTGCTAATGCCATTACTGAACAAGTTTCAAATTTCTAATGACTGTACACGTGGTTTTAGGTTACCAAAACGCCTGTTGATCTGTGACGTCACAAATTACTTAAGAGTTGGACGCATGAGGCATCAATGGGCGAGGGCAGAGGAGGAGGAATACCCTCCGCAATAACTTCGAGACTTTTCTACTGCCCCATTATTGTAACACCATTTTTGCCTCAATTTTTTTAATTAATTGGTTTCTATGTAGTGAAAGAAGAATTCTTGTACTTAAATGGATGACCCTTCAGACAAAGAACAATATTCTGGCCTTGTACAGTACTTACTAGGTACTCTATTTTAGGCACACGAAAATCAGAAAATATCAAAAAATTATACAATCAACTCTACAAAAGCAATTTATTTTATTAAATTTAAAACGCGCAGATCATAGAGATAGTATTATTAATACTAGGTCCATGGCGCAGATATATTGGAAAGTTGGAAACACATTTTGTTCATTTCAAAACAAAAATATTACAAATGTACAAAAATCTCTCAGGAGAATGAAAAATATTTCTTAGTTATCTTTTTCTAGAGAAATTATTAGCTAAAGTTAAGCCAGGGTTATTATTAGTTTTGTACCATTATGCGCTTATTTTATAATGTAACGTGAAATTAAAATATTAGAAAAATAGAAGGTAAGTAAAGAATTTTTTGAGTTTTTTTTTGTTAAGTGTCCGCGGTATACCTACCATGAAAACCACCGCATAAAGTTCAACTATAGGTTTAGATTTGATCACAATAAGTTAAGCCTTTCATATTTCTTGTCAAGTTTAGATTTGATCACAATAAGTTATAGACTTTCATATTTCTTGTCAATAAATAAATACCTACTGTGAATTTCAACAACGAAGACGTAATTTTCTTCAATTCAGTCTTGATTGCAATCTTTTTGAAGACTTTCTTGATGTTTTTTTTGATCAGTTTCGAGTCGCAATGAATTACAATCGACCTGCACAAGAGAAAGTTCTTGACTATGACATTTTTTCCAATTTTTCGGTTTAAGCAAAGAATTGCCTACAAATTTTGGATTTATCACCACCCCAACCATAGCCCAATCCAACTCCAGAGGGTTCGTTGTTGCTAAGTGCAATGGCGACGACGCTTTTCTGATCGTCTGATATCAATGACATTATATTATTTTCGGTCGGAATCACTGGAGAGATCAAGAGATGATAGCAGATTTGTACCACCTGCTCTAATTAGAGGATTTATGTTTTTTTTTTACCTATTAGTCAGTGGTGGCTTTCATTTACATCTTTATCAAGTATTTTCAAATTATTATTATTATTGATAGGAATATTCTCTCAATTTGATCAGCAGTAGCGTTACCGGCTAAATAATAAATAGTCCTCAAATTGTCAAACAAATGTTAACTTTATTTTTTGTAAAATTCTTCCTTACCATCCAAATTATTTTAGAGGAATTAAAATAGAAAGAACACATGATTGTATTCTATATTCTGCAACACAACACAAAATGGTAGCTCCCGAATTTGTCATCCTAAAGGTCAACTAGTATAATTTTTTATGTTCCAAGGGTACTGGTAGGCTTCGTTCGGTGGATTTTATTTTGATTTATTTGTGGTGTCATTTCCTCATTTTCTGTTGTATAGGTTTGAAAGAAACTCAATGAATAAAACTTTAAAAAGTATCGGTATTTATTATTTACATTATATTTAAACAATCCAAATAACATTGTAATTTTACAAGTAATCATGAAATAAATAATAATATTCATATACAGTAGGTAATTATATACACTTGAACTAAAATGTAAAATCGCCACGATAAAATATAAAACGATTTACTGAACCTTACGTTAAAATTGAAAGGCTTAAAACTAAATAATACTAACAACAAAAATTAGGTAGTAAAGTATGAAATGTATCAGTTCAGTAATCTAGGTCAACTATCAATATGACTATTTTTTTGTATTTTTTCTACTTTTGTGATTTCAGTAAACTGTAAGTACTAGAGAAATGATGGTGCTTTTTTTCTTATAGTCAATCACCACTTTAAAAACGTTCTTACGATTTACCAAAATTGATTCTTTACAATATTTAAATGCTAGTGTGCCATTGTGTAACTAAGATCCATGCACTCTGTATAACTCTGTTTTTCTTCAGGTGGCGGACTGTCACATTCTTCCAAAAACTTGATTACTTTTTCGGTGGCTTTAATTGCGCAAACGCTTGACGCTTCCGTCTGTAAAACAAGTATAAAATTAAAATTTAACAACAAAACAATACATACCGACGCTGTTAAATTCATAAAATTAAAGAACTTCTTCAAGAGTTCTACCATATCGGCAAAATTGTTCCCACGGAGAAATTGTCGGACATTATTTTGATATTCTTTGTTGTCCATTATTAGAAAACCAATCAACATAACAATGTAAGAAGCCAGGAATGTGTATTCCATATGTGTGCCAGCTTTTTGTAGTACTAAAACCAGAAATTAATTAATTAAATATTTAGAAACAATAGTAACTTACATTTTGCAACAGTTTCTTCAATAAATTCCTCGTTTGATTTATATGCGACGTTACCACTATTCTCATCCTTTTCACCATCCAATATGGCGTTTGTCCTTTTCTCTGCAATTTTTGCACACCCTTCCCAGTGATAAAATTGGGCAATCAAAGCCTCAACTGCACTTTCTTCTCCTATAAATTCATAGTCACCAATTATCACCAAAGTAAATTTTTAACTCACTTGAATATATACTTTCTAATTTTGATGGTGCCTTAGCTTCCATTAATAGCTTCTTGTTGTTGTCGTTATCTTGAATGAGGTTAATCAACAGCATGAGAACCTACAACATTTAATTAATAACAAAACAATGTCTGATAAACTCAATTACCAAAACTCCCAATTCAAATTTCTTTTGTTCAGGGATATAATGTGGAACTTGAAGAAGAAGATGCAGACTTGTTTCAATAATGCCATTTCTAGAACCTATCAATGTACTCCCCATGGCTGTAAAAATTTGTATTAATTGAAACGAATTTTTTTAATCATAAACCTACATTGTTTACTAAAGTGGTGAGTTAAATTAATTAATACTTTCAAAGTTACGAGAAGAGCTTCTCTTATTATAGTCCCAGTAGATTCCTTATCGGTTATATCAGTCACTGGATACAGAGGTATTTCACCATCACATAATTTATACAAATTAACGAGCGTATCTAAAATTACTCCATCATTATATTTTAACAGGTACGTTTGATTTTCTTCATTATTATGAGTAACCTACAAATAAAAAAAAATAAACATAGCGTTTGATTAGATAATTATAAAAATCATACATTTTCCAACACACGTAAACATCTATCAACCTTTCGAAGTTTATCTAACAAGGCATCCGTCCATGAGACGACATAATCAGACACCTGCCTACAGCACTCGCATATCGTTTTCATAATATGCTCCAAACCCCCCAACTCCCGGAGTTCCTCCTTAAACCACTCTCCCGCTCTTTTCGACGTCAGACTCAAAAGCGTCTCCATGGCTAATTGACCCACAGTTATGTTATCGAGATTCAGATGCATAGCATGTCCTTGACTTTGTATCTCAGCACACAACTCCCTAACTTTTTGTTTATTTTTCTCTAACTGAGCCGAACTCAACCCGCAAACGTCAAGTGCTTGCTGGTAGCTAACGTCCGATTCGAGAAGATTTAACATAAGTTCGAGGCAATCGCGGTCTAGGTCCATATTAAGCCGGTCTTGGCTCAAGACAAACATCACAGTCGCCGTACACAAACCAAGGCTCTAAAACACAGATTTAAAAAACTGAAAATTTGAAAATTGGGGATAGTACTTGATCTTTGGTGGCGTCATGTAGTGCCTTGAAAAATTTAGCTACGGTTCCGTGAGCGCGGACGTGCATCCGGAATGCAGGCACCATACATTTAGAAGCTAGAGTAATGGCCGATAAACAGCGAGTGCTTATAGGATTATTATCCTGCAAGGCATCGAGGATGTACTCAACGTCGTCGTTGAATTCCTGAAATTCGCCAATTTCTTGGATTTGGTGGGCTTTCTTCACGTTGCGCACCACTGTATAAAACTGAAAAAAAACATGATTTTATTTTATATTAATAAAATAAAAGTCACTCTAGGTTTAGTCCGGTCAAAAAAGACATTTCAAATAACTAAAATTCCGACAGAGCTAAATTTTGGTGGAAATTTTGGATACACCATTAGGAATAAAGTGTCAAAAGTCCCCATCGATCCCATGTGTGCTAAAAAAGTTATTCGGGTCAATGGTCAAAATTTGAGGTTCTTTAGATTTTTTTCGAAAACGGTAAGGTTTATCAAAAAAGTAGCCCAGACAAAAATTATAGTTCTTAAAATTATCTACAAAAATGGTCCTAATACTTATACAGAGTGCGCCAGAACTCCCACTCCAAAGAGAATCATAAAGACAAATGCCATGTAGGGTAAGGTACAGTTGGAGACAAAATACTTTGGTCGTCAATGTCACTTTATTTTACACTTATTTTTAGTTACTGTCAAGTTCTATGTACACATTTTTGATAGGAAAATATAATAGCTGTCATTAATTTGAAATTGTCATTTATTTTTACATTAAAGTGTCAGAAAAGTGACGACCAAAGTATTTTGTCTCCAACTGTACCACGAACATGGAAAAAATTAAAAAAAAAATCTATCTATAATAATTTCAAAGTTAGGTATGAGAGTTTAAATTTTGCACTTTGACTCTATTTATTTCTGTAGAAAAAATAATTTTCCAAGTTTTTTTGCTACAGACTATTTATTAGAAGCGGAAACAAGAAAGCTGTATCCTAAACTGTAACTCTGTTTAATGTTATTTGTGGCTTTTATTCGCAAAAGTTATGTACCTTTACTAAATAATTGTAAAAAAACATATACTTACAAAATCAAAAAAATGTCAAATGTCAAAAAATAAATGTCAAAATTTTTTGACAGATAAACATTTTTTCCATGTTTCTGGTATCTTATCTTACTTGAAATTTTTCTTCTGCTTTATTGAACTTATAAAGTTTTAAATATCTCGATTCCATTAGAATTAAAAAGAATTTATTTAGTAATACATACAGGATGTTCAAAAAATCGCGTACTTCCTTGAAAGGGAGTAATTGGGATAAGGGCGGATTCATTTAATTATATCTGTTTGAATAATAACCTTTATCAACTCCTAATCCAGTGAGCGGAAAAATTATGGAATTATTTTATTAAAACTACAAATATTTTGTTTTGGCAAAAATGTTCCAACAAGTCTTGATTGATTTAAAATTCTACATTTTTTGGGTTTTTGAGCAATAACGGCAGCCACATTTTTTTTAAACCCCTATTTTTTTAGGGAATTCGATAGATTTTTTTATTGTCGAAACGGCAACACCAAAATATTATGTATTACATAAAGTTTTTTTAAAAAAATATATAAAAGTGAAATTAATATCAATTAAAAACAAAGATACAATTTAAAAAAAAAGTTGAAAATTTTGTATATTTTAAAAAGAAAATTGACCTGTTCGAGTATTTTTGCTAAAACAAAATATTTTCAGTTTTAATAAATAAGATTCATCAATCTAAAAATTTTTAGATAGCCCCCTCCCCAAAATTAATTCCAGGATCCGCCCCTGAATTAGGTAGTCCCCAGAGTACTGAAAAAATGTTTAAAAAATTCTATGTCAAAAAATTTTGACATTTGACATTTTTTTAAGTCTATTTAATAATACTGATGACCTTATATGTATATGTTTTTTTATAATTATTTAGTAAAGGTACAAAAATTTTGTGAATAAAAGCCACAAATAACATTAAACAGAGTTACAGTTTAGGATACAGCTTCCCTAATAGCCTGTAGCAAAAAAACTTGGAAAATTATTTTTCCAATGGAAATAATAGAGTCAAAGTGCAATATTTAAACTCTCATAACTTTGAAATTGTTATAGATATATTTTTTTTTTAATTTGTTCTATGTTCCTAGTACCTTACCCTACATGGCATTTGTGTTTGGGGCGCAAGTTCTGGCGCACTCTGTATGTGCATATGATGTAGAACGTTACTCCTTCAACTTTTAGAATCGCGATATCTCAGGAATGGTGTTCCTTAGAAAAAAAGTATGAAGACCATTTTTGTAGGTAATTTTAAGATCTATAATCTTTGTCTGGGCTACTTTTTTGATAAAACTTACCGTTTTCGAAAAAAATCTAAAAAACCTCAAATTTTGACATTGACCCCGAATAACTTTTTTAGCACACATGACACTTTATTTCTAATGGTGTACCCAAGGTCTCTACCAAAATTTAGCTCTGTCGGAATTTTCGTTATTTAACCACTCTTTTTATGACTAATTTGACCAGACTATTTAAAGTAAAACAACTCACCCCTTTATCACTCTTGGTACACTTGATACTTGTCACACTTTCGTCCTCTCCATCGCTGTTACCACCGACCGTTACCCTTGTCAAAGGATCATCATTAAAACTGAACTCATCGTAGACTGAACCACTCGTATTATTGCTACTTGCGTTTTCGTTCGATTTTTGCGTGGCGTCTTTGTCGTCACTCCACTTGTGTTTATACAACGCGCGTCGTTTTTTCGTCACGTCCGTAACTAAAGGTCTACTTTTAAAAATACTTCCTTTCTTTTTTGAAATAACTAATTTGACGGGAGGGCTTGTTTCAGATGCACTTTCTTCCGTGGTTTTCTCTTTCTGTTCTTCAGGTAGAGCTGGGAGAGGTTCCGAATCTTCAGTTACGTTAGTTTTCATTTCTGAATCAGGCGTGGTACTATTGCTGTCCTCGTCGGTGTCCCATTCCTCTTCTATTGAACCTTTTGTTATTGGTTCTTCCACTGATGGTTTGATTTCCTCAATCGGATCCTTAATGTTGGTATCTTGGGTTTTTTCTTCATCACTAGGCTCGACACTTTCACTCGGTTTAGTTTCTTCAACTGGATCTTCAATTTGTTCGTTTTCACCATTTTCTTCCACATCTTTCTCGGCACTAATTTCATTATCTATATAGTCAATTCCCGAGTCTTCTATCGTAGTATTCTTGTCCTCTGGAAACAGTTGCGAAGGCGAATTTGGTTTAAGTAAATTATCGTACATCGCTTTTCTTTCCATTTCATATTTCTCTGCTGGAATATATTGAGGAGATAGTTCAATATCTTGTTTGGGTGAAGTAAAAAGCGAAAATTCAGTCGGAGTGTCCGCTGTTGCAGGACTACTACTCGGGTCCTGCTGCATGCTTCTTCTCGCCGATCTCGTGATGCGACAATTTGGTGACCTTTGTGCTGTATCCCTGAGAGCCCTTGGAGAGGTTGCGTTTGATGTAGATGGAGTACTGGATGGTGTGGGTGTGCTTTCCGACTCGTCCGAATCATTCACTAATTGAGATTTTCCTTTACATATCCTTAAAACTATTGGAGGTTTTGTTTCGTTTCGTTTAGAATTATTTACATTTGAACTTAATACAGTCTTTTCAGGCGAGTTGCTCTTTGATGAAAAAAATTTACGACCTACACTTTTTGGTGGAGATTTCTCCGCCGGTTCGTTTACTATTTTCAGTTTTTTTGTTACGTTGCCGTATGTCATGTCGGCGGTGGTTTTGTAGGATGAAGATAAGTCAGGAGGCTCAGTGTTGCGACTTTTGAAGAACTTCTTCGGTTTCGGAACGGACTCTCCTTCGGATGAGGTGTTTTTTTCATTTTCTGAACGAGATAAACCTGCATTATAACAACTACGGTAAATGGATAAACTTTAAGAGTAAATAACTACTTATTAACTGGCTCTTAAAAAAGTTTAATTCTTAATAAAATTAGTTTTATGACCACTTCCTCCATATTTTATTTGTATATTTTTTTACATTTTATTTATTAACTTGACTCAGAGATAATTCATCCGATTTACTTTCTCTTAATGGTTTACAACGGTGAAACAAATGATAAAAACACTAATATCGTCATTTTTACTATCTTCACTTATGTCCTTTATTGTTTTTTATTTAAGCAATAATTCTTTTGACTTATTTTTCAAATTAAATTTAATATAATCTTTGTTTTTGTTGAGAACGTGTTTAGAGCAGACACAATAAATGTGAACAATCAATTCTCAATAAAAACTAAGGTAATTTAGACAAAAGCTGCAATAATAAATGCAATCTCTCCTCAGATTATGCTCCCTAAAGCCTAGAATTGCAACATTTTGAAGGAAAAACCAGAATGCTGTGTTGTAATACTACTTAAAATAACACTGTAGCATTTCTTACCATTGCTGGTACGTATTGAAGTAAAGGAAGTGATCCCCCATTTGCCCACGGTAGCAGCAGACCTTGCAGCAGATGGTTTGTTAGCATTTTCCTTAAATAAATTATCAAAATGGAAACTTGCATGGGAACTTCCTCCACGACGATACTTCCCATATCCCCTTGACATTTTTAAAAGTTAAACTCAAAAGTACTCCTCACTCAAACATTTTGAAACGTTCTATAAAAACTTCAGTCCTTGAAGAATTCCAGGCAATATAAACGTGTTCCATACGGCCTATCTAGTAATACTATCGAGTTCCATGATGTTATTTTTACGTTTTATCAACACATTTTGCTGTATTTTGTTAAAATTGGTTCAACTTCGCCATTTTCATCAAATGATGAACGTCTCTAGATATTTATTAAATGAGCTTGTATTTTCGTAATGATGCATTTGTAAGGTGTCACAGATATCACATTATTTGTATGAGACTTTCCACTTTTCAGAAAATGCGGGAAATAATTAGGTTTTTACTTGTCAATAGAATTTTCACGTTATAAACACGCTAGTAAATAACGGCTACGAAGATCTACGTAAGGTTGCACAGTTGACTGTTGCAAAGACGCTCATTTGTCAAATTTATGCAACCGTTTGCAACACCAAATGTCAAAATTGTCAAAAGTTTCTCATTGGCTGTGTAATTTTTAAAAATAAGTTTTAAGCTCAAAAATGATGTTTTCTATCAATAAGTTAATAGTTTGTGTATTAGTGGTTAGTTTTTCTTCAATTTCTCATTGTCACAATAAATACTCTGCTGAAGCAAATGTGAAAAAAACGAATGATGATGTTGATTTTCGTCCGGTGACACTAAAACACTTGGATAAGCCTTTCAGGATGGCAAAATTAAATCTATTATGGTCTAAAGCTGTTGTGGTACGTATTTGAGACTCGTATTTACTTTATGTTTACAAAAAATTATGTTTAGAGACTCTCCGAACCAAAACTAAAATCGCTTTTTGGTGAATTAAAATTGCACGATAAAGAAGAAATCACTTGGAAGCATTTAAAAGCAGAAGGAAAGGATAAAGACGGTTTAAAAGAAGCTGAATTGAGGAAAAAATTGCTGGCAATAATGGGAAATTATAATTTATTAGACCAAGCTGACGACGTGCAAGATCCTTCTAAATATAGAGCTCATAAACCATTAAATGAAGCCTCTGACAAATACATAAATAAGAGTCTATTTAAAGATAAAAAGTTGAATAAACTTTGGGAAAAAGCGGAAATTGCAGGTTTTACTACTGAGGAATTGGCAGCTTTAAAAGAAGAATTTTCTCACCACCAGGACAAAGTTGACCAGTATTATGCATTGTTGCATGATGTTAAAGGCAGAGAACAAGACGATAATGCTGCTAGTATGTCTTTATTTCACTTGTTGAGTTACAAATTTAAATGAGTGTGTTTTAGATTCAGTTGATGATAGTTTGGATAAGTTCAACACTATTGAAAGCTTGGAAGAGCCACAACCAAATAAAGATTATTTAGATAAAGTAAACCTCCTCAGGGAGCAACACAAAGATATCCGTGACGGCTATGACCGCTTACATCTGTTGGCTGCAAAGGGGCCCAACAGTAAAGAATTTGTGGAACCCAAAGTTCAAGGTTTATGGAAAATTGCTATTGAAAGTAATTTTAAACCCGATGAATTGGAATCTTTAAGAGTGGAGCTCCTCCATTATGAAAATAGGTTGCTCAAGTTGAGGCATCTTCAGGCTGAAGCTGCCTTAAAAGAAAATCTTCATAAGAAAAAAATGGAAATGTCTGGAGCTAAACCAAATGGGATGCAGATGATGGAAGACACAATTAAAAAGCATGCAAGAAAAGTCGAAAAAATTCATTTAGATCTGGAAACTAGGATAATGCAAAGGCATATCGAGTTGTAATTATACGATTAGTGTTACGTGTTTTGTCATTAACAAAAAATAGATTTTTTATATGTATTTGTAAAATTATTAAATATATTATCACAAATTATAAAAATGTTAATTAAAAACGTTTTTATTTCATTCGGTCTAAACTGACATACTCTTCTTGGAAATTTTGAATAATTTTTAGTGTTGTGGATTTTATATTTTGAGCAATAATCCTACTAATTTCGGGGTTTTGTTGATCTTCATTGCAACTTGCCATGATATTTCCGTACATACTATTCATTGCGTCTTTTAGTGTCGCAATAAACTTTGCACTTCTTTCCTTATTGTCCTCAAATTCTTCTCGACTTGTTGCTTTTTTCGTTTCATAATCTTGCAACTTTATTTTTAAATCAGAAATTGTACTTTCAAGTTGTGAAATTTCATCTTTTAGGGCTGTACTTGTATTATTCTGATTTAATTCTAAATTCGTTTTCAGTACCTCAATTTCTTCTTTTTGTTCCTCCACTATTTGAGTGAGGGCAGCGATTTCGTCCTTGTGTGTACGAATTTCTTTGTCCAATTTCTCTATTTTTACAGCTTCTTGTTCTTCCAGAAGCCTCAATTCCAATTTACTCTGCTCTTCATCCTTTACACTACTGTGGTATTCCTTCAATTGCAGTTTCAATTTTGCGTTTTCTTCCTGACTTGATCCTAATTCCCTCAATAAATTCTCATTTCTCAACTCTAACACTTTCAGCTTACTTTTCAAGTTATTTGAATTGTCATTAGACTTATCTGAATCAACCAAGCTAATAATCTGATTTAATTTGTCTGAAATTTGTGATAAATTGATCCTAACTTCACTATTATGAGCACGGTTTTCAGCATAGAACAAATTTAAAGGGTCATAAACCATTGGATGGCTCATAACAAAAGTGTTAGGAACATTCTGAATTTGTTGTGAAGGTTGGATAACAGCTGATGTGGAACTGACATGTTGGTTTTCTTTAAAACTTGGTTTGGGGGCACATGATGATACAGTATAGTCTGTACTTTCAACAGATTCATTATCTGTGTCTAAATCTTTACTAGGTAAAATAGACTGTCCCATTTTAGCAATTCTTGACAAAATATCAGCTTTAGCTTTATTTTCCGGTGTTGCAAGTTCTTCGGTATTTTTTAAGTCTTGCTTTTCAGATGCAGGCACATTTGGAACTATAGGATTTACAACACCTCCAAACTTTTCAATAACATTCATAACAGCCATACAATCATCATTGTTATTAAATTTAATTAACCAGTTTTCCTGCATATTGTCGTACAGAGACGCAAACTCATCCTTCTTTAAATTCACCTCAAATCTAGCCGATATTTTAGCTCTCATGATCACATTACGTTGTTCTTTATACAAAATAATTTCATAGGAGTTTTGGGCTGTTGATCCAATAACAGCAAGACCATGTTTACCCAACAGCTGGTATTTACCGTCAGTCCTAAGATTTTATGTCAATTGAAATATTAATGTTGTGAAAACTTACAATTTCCAAACATGAACCACCCTTGCACAAAAAACACTGCTTTCGACCTTTGGAGTTTCATTTTTTACATCAGAATTATTTCCAGGTTTTGGTTGTTTAGGAGCAGTGTATGTGAGACTAGCAGTTTCGGAATGTGGTGAAGAATTGCCAAATAAGGATGCCAAATTTGAACTAAAGACAATTATAAAAACATTAATCACATGAGAAATTTTTTATTTCACCTAGATGAAGGCGCAAAATCGTAGTCATCTACATTATCATCCATCTTTAAAGCATCTTATACAAAGTATATTATAGAGAATTCGAATAATTATCATGTAAACAGAACTAAAAATTTAGAGAGTTAACCCAACTTTTGAAATGTCAAACAAATTGACACTTTATACTAGATCACACAGATTGCACGAGTGTATTCGGGGTCGTCTAGCCCTAAAATACTTGAACTGTAAATAATAATAAATTATTATTATTGTTATTATTATTATTAGTTAAATTTATCTAATTCAATGATTTAAAAAAAAACATAATAATGTGCTTTATTCTCATATTAAAATAAAAATTTGATTAACAATAATTAGCAATAATATCAATCTTTGAAATTTAAAAATCAGAAATTGATTTTCTGGAAGCAAGCTTTTTAAAACTTTTGTGTTTTTAATATCTCCTTGATTTATTTTTATTAACTAAAAACTAGTAGAAAAAAAACAATGAAACAACTGTTTTCTGAATGTTTTAATTGGTAATAAACAATTATTTTCTTAGTCAGTAATAAATTTACAAGTTGGTAATCTTCAAATTGCACTTCTACGGCGATAGCGTAAAGTCTTGGTGCCTATATCTCAAAGAGTTTACATCAAATCGGTTGCACATTGAACTCGCCGAAATATTCGAAGAACAATAATTGAAAGGGTTTGTTGGAAGAAAAGGGCACGCTTGACCCCCCATTGCCGAATTAAAATTATTGCTGTATAAGTCAGGTTGTCCATATTGTCCGTGAGAACACTTCCACGGCATCACATATTGCAGATCAGAAGCAGCATGTGGAGGAATTACGTTTTGATGAGCAAATAGCGGTTTTTCCATTGAGTCAGTTCGGGGAGCCAGCGGTGTCATAGGTTTGTTACAAGACAATTTCGTTGGTGGGGTTTGCTGCAAACTTAGACTTCTTTCGTTTCTCCGAAATTTAGCACGTCGGTTCTGGAACCAAACCTAAAACACAAGTCAGCCAAAATCGCATTTTTTTAACACTTACTTGAACTCTGGCTTCGCTTAAGCTGACTTTTGCTGCTAAATCTTCTCGAACGAAAGCGTCCGGATAGTGGGTTTTTTCAAAAACCTTTTCTAAAGCTGCAAGCTGGACTGTGGTGAATGTGGTTCTGTTTCTTCTTGGTTTTTTCGTTTTTTCAGAGTTTTCGGACACAGATCCTAGAAATATGCTAAAGAGTCAAGTTCCAAAAGTTGGTACAAGGGCAAAATGGTAATTAAAAATAGATGCGTTTTCAAGGTCTGTGAACGGATGTTTGTATTTTATTTGCCAATCGCGATAAAATCGTTTAAAGCTCGGGACATGTGTGTATGCAATGCATTTAAGCAGATTCATTTTAAAAGCAATGCATCATGTAATTAGAAATGATAAACGTGGACCGGTGCGTCCGACCGGAATATCTCAAACGCATGGATCAAAGGACAGATCAAAGACGTCTCTGTCTATCTCAATGAGTTACTTGTTGCAACGTAATCTGATATTTCAGGACAGTTTCAGTCTGCACATCTCAACATCTGAAATCTCCGATATTCCTTAAATAATTCGTAAGTGATGCAAATGATAATATTGACAATTATGCAGTTGCGGGAAACGCAAAGTTCTATTAAAAATAAACTTTCTGAGAACCATTAACTCATTAAACTATCAAATGTGATTTATTTTACTATGTGAGACACATTTAACATGTAAATTAAATGCAGATAAAATAACAGTTAAGATTTGTTTTTAGACGGGATCGTAATTTACGTGTAAAAGTGACTTTATTATCGTGTTCACCTAGTAGTGAGTCAAAATTATGGGCGAGTGCAGTTGCTACTGTTGGCACTAAATGGGCAAAATATATGGGTAACAGACGAATGCACAGACAATGGCACGTAAGCTGCTTTAATACACTGTATAAAATGTAATTAGTGTCTTTAATTTACATTTGATCGGGAACAACTGCAGAAAGCGGCTTTTATAAATACAAGAAATGAATACCAAAAGACCTTTTATCGGCGTATAAAATTTAATTGTTTGAAAATGTAAATAAGAAAACAAGACAATAAACCAGTTTCTAAGAATAATTGAAACCACTATCTTTATTAAATTAAGATTGATTTTAAATAAAATTATTCTTATTCTTCTTCTTAAATTTTAATTATATTTGAATTTTAGGATACTATTTAAATTTATTGAATTTTAATTTTTAAATTGTAAATAAGTGTAGGGTGTTAATTAGATAATGGATTTGAGAAGTAGATGTAAATTAAATAATAACACTACCCACTTATGGTTTAGTTTGTATTTTTTCACTTCTTTATTAAAAAGAAATCATTAAAATTGATGAGTTATAAGTATCTATAACAATTATAAGACTTATTAGGTACATAGGTACTTAGAGTTTGACCGTAAGCGTTTTTACACAAGATAATTAGATACAAAAATAGATGCGAATTTTAAGAAAAACAAAAAATTAAATAATTTTTAAAAAGCTACTAATTTAGGACATAACAATTATTTATTCGACGAGTTTGAGTGTAAATCGGACTCTTTATTTGACCGAGTGGATTTTTAAACCACGAGTGTAACGAGTGGTTTACCATCCACGAGGTGGAATAAAGCGTCCGATTTACACTCAAACGAGTGGAATACAACATTTTATTCTTCGAATTAGAGTCAACAAGGCTTAAACTTGCTTTAAATCTGTTAAAAATAATTTGAGGTTTTGTATTGAGAAATGCTAAACAGTTGTCAAAACTTCCTTACACGGGAGAAAAACCGTAAATTTTGACAGTGTCGAAGAATAAAAATTATTAATCTAAAAATTTAAAAATACATACAGGGTGCGCCAGAACTCGCGCCCCAGAGAAAATTTTCAAGTAAGGTAAGATACCAGGAACATGGGAAAAATGTTTACAAAATTCTATCTGTCAAAAAAATTTGACATTTATTTTTTGACATTTTACATTTTTTATGTCTATTTAATGATACTGATCATCTTGTATATGTTTTTTTACAATTATTTAGTAAAAGTACAAAAATTTTGCCAATAAAAGCCACAAATAACATTGAACAGAGTTACAATTTAGGATACAGCTTCCTTGTTTCCTCTTCTAATAACCAATAGCAAAAAAACTTAAAAAAATATTTTTCTAACAGAAATAAATAGAGTCAAAATGCAAAATTTAAACCCTCATAACTTCGAAATTTTTATAGATAATTTTTTTTAAACATTTTTTCCTTGTTCCTGGTATCTTACCCTATATGGCATTTTTCTCTGGGGCGCGAGTTCTGGCGCATCCTGTATATTAAGTAATAATTTTTTATTCGTGTATTAGTAATTAAATATATTATTAGTTAAAATTAAAATAAAAAGATAAAAAATGTAATTTCAATAAAATAAAACTCTCTGTCCCTTTTCAAGAAATTAAATATTAGAAACAATTGTATTATTATTAATTACAAAAATTTATACGACTTATTCTGTAGCAATTTTAATAAGAAGCACCGTTTAAATTGAAAATCTATCAGAAATGGTAGGTACTGAATCTTGATCAATGTTATTTATATAGAAACGAAAGAATTTGATTTAATAAAATAAAGAAAAATAGGCATATACACAATTTCCCTAGTTTCAAATTTAGTAACACATAATAAGAAGAAATAAATTCTATATTTTTATACCAGCAAGAATTTTTTGTGCATGGCTTCATAATGACGATTTTCCGTAACAGTTAATAAAGTAAGTAATTAATAAAATACACAATTAAAATGCAATTTTTATTCTTTTATTTACTTTTAATGTTATTTATGGAAGAATTTGTACAAATGTATAGTCAATGTGAAAAAATGCAATGTATGAAATACACTGACGATCAAAAAAAGCAAAGCATTCTAAAGGGATGATTTTATATTCACATTTTAACAAGTACATTTCTTTTTCTGTGTATTGCAAACTTGAGGATTATTGACACTTTAGATGTCGTCAAATCTTTTATTTGTGCCCTGCCTTCAAATCTGCCTACAAATAACATAGTTTATATACCAAATTCTTTTTTTTCTTACTGTATTGCAGAAAATCATATTATTTTATTAATAACGCAATCTGTACATTGAATTAAGTTAATTAAGATAAAAATATTAGCAATTTTTGATTTTTTGTATAGTTATATTTATTATTTTATTTTGTATTCAATGTTAAAAAGTACTTTTATCAACTAATTTCAGTAGATAAAGTAGTCTTTTATCGTCTAGTGAAATAAAGAAATTTTTATCTACTGTTTATATTCCACTTTGACCAAGAAATTCTGGTAGGTAAGTACAAAATAAACCGAAATATTAAAGATAAAGATAAAGATTGTTTATCTACTCGTGAAAAAGTCCACTCGTGACTTCGTCACTCGTAAACTTAACTTTTTCACTCGTAGATAAACAATTTCTTTATCGTCTTGTATAATAAATAACTATATAATTAATATTTAAATATTTCTTTTCGTTGTTAATACATTAATACATAGGTATAATTAAGCTATGATTATGAAACAAGAAATTCTGAAACGTTGACAAGAATATATCTTTTATTTGTCGATACAGTAAAGAAGTCTTGTCAAAAAAATATTAATTATTCGTACATATATACCTAATTGTACGATATTTTATCAATTTTTCAAAATTAAATAATGCTCTTAAAGACAATGGAGCGCTTACAAAAGAAATCTTCAAAAGTTATAAAAGTTCGTACAAGATCTTTTTGGTGTAAATTAGTGAATTTGTCAAGATTTTTAACAAAATATATATAAAGACATAAAAAACTTTGAACATAGCCTTCATTTATTGATAGTCTCAGCAGCGTGTCTACAATTAAGAGCAACGAAATAAAAATTTGCTTTATAGATAAAATATTAAATACTTTACAGTCAGTCAGAAGCGCCATTTAAAATTTTCTTAAGGGGAGCAATACGTTAATTCATTAGCACACGAGTAAGCTTTTAAAATTAATAAATATAACGCTAGATAATAATTTTTACACATATGTAACTAACTGCATATAATTTATTCATTCAGATAATATAAAAATAAAAACAAACAGTAATTTAAATAAAATTAGATAGGGTAATTATAGTCAGAAAGGGCCATTGCCCCACTCTGCCCCCTCGTAATGACGCCCCTGTTCACAGTAAGAAATAAAGATATAGGTAACAAACATTTTGCTGAAAACCATGATTTAATATAATAAATAAACCATAAATTTTTGCTTCGCTTCATATTTATAATTTTTTTTTGAAAATGAATGACAGAAAGTGCAAAAGACAAAGTCGTAGAGTTGTAGAAAGTTGGCTTTTGAGCCGTTTTTATAATCCATTCTGTGTATTGCATACTCTTCCTACAATTTACTATTCATTTCTTATTAATAATTAAACAAGAAATTGATAATTTAGGGGATAGTTATTTTGCTATACTTATACGGATTTTGTTTGCAGAAATATTATTTCAAAATTTCTTCTTTAGTAATAAACTCACCTTCATTCGATTCGTCCGAATTTCTCCTTTTTTGTCCCAATCTTAACAAACTAGTCACAGAAAATTGTCTCGAATTGTTAGAACTAAGTCTCCCGCTGTATTCCGTCGCTGCCGCCAAATCCGTAATCTGTCCCTCATACGCAAACATTTTCCAATCACTTAATAAACCATAATCCGACCAAAAATCACTTTAAAATAAAATAATGCTATAATTTAATAAAGACAAATGTCTGTAAAAGCTACATTTTAATTCAATAATAATCGACACTAATTTCATAGCCTTTGAATTGTTAATTTGACACAAACTCAAATTGAAATTAATGTTTGTTTATGAATACGCTAATTTAATAATGCGACCACTAAGATACTACTAACGGGAAACTGGCAGGAGCTTTTAGATCTGAAACATTTCTTACTGACGTCTCGTGCCATCCCCACCTAAATGACTTAATTTAAAAGAGGGCGGATTTAAGCCGAAATGGTATTAAGATGTTAAGTGGCGCCCCAATCATTTACCAAAATTATGGCCACAGTAATTGGGGATAATAGTGTTGACGTTTTGAAAAGTGCAGGAAGCGAATTCCTGTTTAAACACCCATATATCGTTTTTATTACCCGTGAAAATTATCCAGATTAGGGGCTAATTAGCCAGATTTTGCACGATAGATGAGGAGTTTCATTTACAATGATTTTTTATGTTGGAAACGCATCTTTTAATAGGCGAGTTCTCGAAATCTCGCTTAATTAATTCGAAATATTGCCAATTTTTCGAGTGGCATGTCGTAAAGAAATGTACATTTATCAAAGTTTTTCTGAAGTGAGTGATTGGCAAAGGCGTCTTGGTGCCGAGACCGGCCCACAGCGGGCGTAACGCCACACATCAAGACCATGCCAGAACATCCTCCAAAGTCAGTGGAGCATTTAGATCTTGGAAAACTGTCTCATGTCTAAATAACCACATATGCTGAACCATGTTCGACTTAAATTACCATAATATTAAGTGAAGCATTTAAAGTCCTACTCAGACTTATGCGGGATACATAAGCCCAAAGGCGCATCTCGTTATTTCATTAAAAGTGTTACTGAATACTCAAACCAAATAAGCGAAAATCCTGTGTAGCTCATTTTGTAACCACAAAACTACTCTTAAATCAAAAGCATTCAATTAAATATTTAAGTTCATTGAAATTTCTAAATTTTTATTACTTTAATATGTATGTACTTATTTACTTAATCGGTTAGTTTTTCTCTTTCTTTTTCTGGTGTTTACAAGTAAAGATTTACTTGTACATTGTGCTATGGTGATGACTAAGGCTTGGATTATATACAAAATGCATATTTGTTATTAGGAGGTATAGAGGTAAAGGTAAGAGGTATATCAACAAAACTGTAAGTTTTCTATGTACAGGGTGCTGCATTTTGGATGTCCGAATAGGACATCTCCGAAACTAAGAGGTTTAGCCAAAAACGAGTAATACATTCTGGAGCTCATTCTTTGAGGAAATAATATTGGTTAAAACCGCATCTCGCTATCGTCTTTTGTTTTCGACTTATAGACAAAAATTGACACTTTCGCGAAATCTAAAAAAATTCATATTATATATTCGTTATTATAGAAGACACAGATTTGAAATAAAAACATTATACAGACACTTTTTTACGTAGAATTTAATAATGTAGTTAACATTTTTTTAGTTGTTTGTTTAGCCGTAATAAAATAAACTTGTATTTTTTTTAATGGGAATCATATATGGATGTCATTTTTAAAAAGCTTGTTTTTTTCTTATCTAAAAAATATATATTTGCAACAAATTATTATAATACATTTTTAGCAAAAAATTATCTTTGATTTTTGTTCGCAGTTGGCCATGAAAAAATGTTGCATCTTCAACTAAAAGGATTTAAACTATATTATTCAACCAGTATTACTAATGAAAGAATTTTTTCTAAGTACTAAGTAATGAAAAAAATGTAAAATAAATTGTAAATCAACTTATTGGCGACTAATAACATTTCTTCGTTTTTAAACAAGCTAACATTACCATAACTTGTAGCTTCTAGTATTACATAGAGTGTTGTAAACAAAGCCGCTTTAATTCTTCAATAAAATACATTTTATGTATATGATACAAAAATGACGATATGGCTATTCAAATACCCAAATTCCGTCTATGTGGAACGTTATCCTATCTCCATTAGATCATCAAAAAAATGTTTTTTCTAATTGTGTTGACTGTTAACACATTTGTTTTACCTATTTTTGGATTTTTAAAAAATATGTAATAATTTTGTTCTGAGGCGCTCGCATATTTGTCCAATACTTCTACGGTATCGTATTTTTAAATTATTATAATTTTATCTATTTTTTTCATCTATTTTACAGTTCACAAAACTGTTATTGACTATTACTTACACATTTGGAGTGAAATAGTTTTTCCATGGCCAACTATTATGAAACATAATATGTATTTCACTTTTTAAGTATAATTATAAAAAAATATTCTGTTACAAATATATATTTTTTACATCAGAAAAAAATAAGCTTTTCAAATTTGCCATAGCCGCCTATAATTTCCATTTAAAAAAATACAAGTTTATCTTATTACGGCTTAACTAATAACTGAAACTATAATAACCACGATATGAATTTTTTTAGATTTCGCCAAAATGTCAACTTTTGTCTGTAAGTCGAAAACAAAAGACGATAGCGGGATGCGGTTTTAACTAATATTATTTTCTCAAAAATTAACCCCAGAATGTGTCACTCGTTTTTGGCTAAACATCTTAGTTTCGGAGATTCCCTATTCGGACATCCAAAATGCAGCACCCTGTATATCTAATGTTTCTTGATTAATATAAGCCAAATAAAAAAATTATCTTTTGTATATTTTGGCAACTTCTTGCATATTTTAGGAAATACTGCATATTTGTGCATATTTTCTTCAAATCACAAATTTTCGATTAATAATTTCAGTTCAAGTTAAAAATTGGACAGTTTAAGAAAAATGATCTAATTACAAAATATTTTAAAAAGAAAACAACCGGTAATTCGTAAGCCGGATTCAAAAAGTTATAGTATCCTGCTGAGTGTTTCTTTTTTAAATTCGTTTTATACAGGGTGAATATAAAGTATTGAACCAAGTGTTTTTTTAAAATCATTTGTTTCCAAAAAATAATAATTAATATTAATTAACGTAATATAAAAAATGATCTTATTTTGAGAACACAATTTTGTTTTGTTTTTGAGTTATTCGATTTTTGTTGTCAAAATTACAATTTATATACAGGGTTAGTCACGAGAGGGTTATTTCTGAATTTGTTTTTGACGCAACCCATTATACATATTGCAACAATTTCTTGATTCCAAATTTTGAAAATAATTATAACTAAATCCACGATAGCTGTTATTAGTCTTGTCTCTTCGACATTAAAGCAAAAAAATCATCTCTCAAACGATGCGACATGGTTTGTTATCGTTTACCAATCGACTAGGCGCATGTTTAGAAGTCGATGGTAGACACTTCAAACACCTTTTACATTAACTTAACTTGTTAATTTATTTGTTGAATTTTGATTAAATATAGGTTATCTGTCAATCTGACATTTCTGGCAAATCTATCCAACTTACTTTGATTTGTAATTTAAAAGAAATAACATATTTAATTTAGCAGTTGGTGAAATTGGTATTGTTGGTTGCGGCAAAAAAATTTTCAGAAATAACCCTCCCGTGAATAACCCTGTATATATATTTTTAAATCCAATGTAAAGTAGATAATTGTAATCCCTTAGATCATGACTTTCATGAGAAAAATGTTTTTTTAGTGGGTTGCCATTTAAAAGCAAAATAAATATTTTTGTACAATAAAAAGTATGGAACCAAACGTTTTTTGCTTAAACTATTTATTTTTGGAAAAACTAATTGATGAATGATAAAGTACAATAAAAATGTGATGTTTTATCAAGAATAAATTTTTCAATTTTTGTTTTGTTTTTGAGTTCTACAAATTTTTTAATTTTTTTAAATGGCAACCCACTATAAAACCATTTTTCTCATAAAGGTTATAATCTAAGGATTACAACTATCTATTTTATATTTAATATTTTCAAAAATATGTTTTACATAAATTGCTGTTTTGACAAAAACAAAACAAAATTTTGTTCTCAAAATACGATCACATTTTTATATTACTATAATTTGTATTAATTATTATTTTTTGAAGGCAAACAATAAAAAAACGCTTCTTCAAAGTTTTTCTTTCTCGATAGTTGATGGAATAAAAATGTACATACAGGGGATCTTGATCATAAATAATTTTTCATTTAGTAAGTAAATTTTTAAAAAGGTATAGATAGGTACTCGTACGTACTCTTATGTAGGTACAGGAAAACAAAAAAGAACTGTCAAAATGATTCCAATTTTGTAGAAACATTTTACAACGAAATATTGACGCCGACATATTGAAAAGGTGAGAAATTTGAAAAAAAAAAACTTGTAAAAAAGCGACATACCAAATACAACTTTGTTCTTAATATGAGTAAAAAATAAATATTTGTAGTAGCTGTGGCTTGATTAAAAACAAAGCTATACTTGCTACTAGTGAGTTCTAATAATGATAAGAGATGTACATACCTACTTATTAGCTGCAGCTATCCCAATTTCACATATTAGCTTAGCTACGGCTACAAATTACTAAAATTGTAACTTAGCTCTCTAGTTATAACATAAATTCCATTATAAAAACACATATACATAGATGTAACATATTTGAATGCAGTACCTACAGAAAATTTAGGAAATCAAAATAAATAGAGACGAATGTTTTGCTTGAAACAAAAATATTGCTATTTAAGTATGAATCTATATTTATTTACAAAATTATGAAGGACAAAAAATATTCTTTTAAATTTTTTTTAATAGAAGCAAATTCTCTCATCAAGTCTTAGTCTATTATAGCTTATGATAATATTGTCAAGACAAACACTAGTGTACGTACCAGTTTTTTGGCTCTTGCGCTACTGTGGTCTGGTATTTTTCATATAGTATTTCATACATGTATTCATATTTCTATATTTGACTTAACTATTTTTTAACTTATTTGAAACTGCCATGAAAAATATGTACCTAAATGCAAGTAGCATAAGAGAAATGATACCATAGTATGCTGTACATATTTTTAATTTTCCTCACTTTTTTAAAGTAATTCAAAGGAACAGCGTCATTAGACGTAAGAAAAATTTTTTTTCTTAATATCAATTCTCCAGCTTTCTCATTAGATTTCAGCCGGAAATGGTTATTACTATAAGGATGATCGGGCGCGAAATTGCATGACTTGATGAAGCTTGAATAGCAGCTTTTGACTGTGTATGTGCGAAGT